TTTGTGTATGTGTGTGTCTTTGTGTGTATGTGTATGTGTATATGTATGTGTGTGTATGTTTGTCTGTGTGTGTATGTGTGTGTGTACATGTGTATGCATATGTGTATGTGTGTGTGTCTGTGTGTATGTGTATGTGTGTGTGTCTGTGTGTGTATGTGTATGTGTGTGTGTCTTTGTGTGTGTCTGTGTGTGTGTCTGTGTGTGTGTATCTGTGTGTGTGTGTGTATATGTGTGTGTGTCTGTTCTCTGTGTGTGTGTGTGTATGTGTGTATGTGTGTGTGTCTTTGTGTGTGTCTGTGTGTGTGTGTCTGTGTATGTGTATCTGTGTGTGTATCTGTATGTGTGTGTGTATATGTTTGTGTGTCTGTTCTCTCTCTCTGTGTGTGTGTGGTGGGGCTACCTGGGAGTCAGGCGGTGAGCCAATGACTCCAACAGGACTGGCTCGATGCCACTGGGTAAGTTGGCGCCAGCACAGCGTGACTGATCACACAGGGCAGCCTCCACAGCTTCACTTTCGAAGGAATCCGCCTTGCTGTTCTGTGACCAGGCCAGAAACAATAGTGGGAGGGGTAGAGAGGAGTGGCACTGTATCCAGGCTGTGCTTCAGCTCTCAGACCCCTGGCCTCGCCACCCCCAGCATTCTTTCCAAATTTGTCCTTCCCTTCCTCTCAGCTCTGGGCGGAAGGTAGACATGGGAAAGGGCTGACCCTGTCCCAGATGTCCCTGCAGGAGGCATCCTGCACCCTGGGGTCCCTGTAGACCCAACTTCATGTGAAAAACCAGGGTTTGGCCTTCCAGCCTGTGTGCCTAAGAAAACTCCAACCAGAGCAAGGGACCACTGACTCCTCGCTCCCAGTCTCAGTGTCCACTAGGGCTCTGGGGACCTACCACCAGGGTCCTAGCTGGAAACAGACAGCCTGTACCCCTGGCTGTAGTGTGAGGAGTTGTATGGATTGCCCTATGCTCCCCTCTAAGCAGCTGTAATTCTAGGCAAGCAGTAGACGACTCTAACCTGAGACATTCTAGGAATATTGTGGACACCTGCTCCATAGGCATCTAGGGAGCCTAGAACCCCAAAGGTCACACCCAGCATGATGAGACACTTTCTCTCATTCTCAAACCTCGGACCCTCCAGAGTCGAGAGCAGCCTGTCTTTTGGGAAACCCCGTTGTCCCTGTGAGTGCAAGGGAGCAAAGGGAGAAACTGCAACCTCTACAAGGGCCTAAGGTACCGCTTTCAGGCTTAGAGTGCCTCAAAAGCAAGGCTTTGGTGCCCTCTGCTGGACACTTCTATGAGTAGCCATTTCTGGCTATATCGTCTGGAATTCACAAATGTCTGCTCCAAAACCACTGACGGGCACCCAATTTTAGTCTGTGGGAAGGCTTCCCAGGGGTTTCCCCCACTCACAGCTAGGCTAGAGATCCACCAACTAGTGGCAACTTTTCTGGGTAGGTTGACTTAAGAGCTACCTGGTTCCTGGGTGCTTTCTAGAACCTTGCTAGGCATAAGGACCTGAAAGGGAAAAAGCAGACCTTGGCATCCCTGAACCCACTTCTCACGTCACTCAGGGTCTGTTCAGGCCTGGAGAAGCTGAGTACCGTAAACATTTATTGATAACATGAGAAAGAAAATACCATCCTGGGGCTGGGCTCAGGCGCCAGCTCATCTGTGCCAGGAGCCAGTGCAATCTTGGGAAGCCAACCTGGAGGCAGCTATACTGGCAGATCATCGTAAGTGCCTGGAGACTTGTACTGTGACTGCAGAGTAGAAGAGAGTCACCCTGTGTGTAGCATTAGTTTGAGTCTCTCCACTCCACAAATATGGAGCTGAGCCATCTCGTTAGACCAGACAAGAGTACAACACCGAAGTATTGACTGTCCTTAGTAATACCCTAAAAGATCCTGAACCTTCAGATGCTAGGCAGAGGTGATGAGGGGCTCCAGCAGAATTGGAGGTTGTAAGGGAGCAGGTCCCCATAAGACACAGTCCCAGTTCTAACCTCCAAGTGACAGGCATAGCTTGTTGAAAATAATTATTACTGCAGGCCCCATGAACAAGGAGTTCCAAGGGCAGGAAGGAGCCTCTGTGCTGCAGGGCTGTCCTGAGCCTACATGGGGCGACCCCAAGGCTCAAGAGAGCCTCTGAAGTCCTCAGCTGGCATCTCTGGGGTTGGCACTCATGGTGGTGCTCATCAAAGACGCGATATGACATCTGCCCCTGGGCACTGGGTCACTTTGGGTGGCTGTTTCTTGTCTGCTTCTGGAGGGACTGAGAGGTGGCATATATCTGTCTCTAGTATTCTGCCTTTTTTCCTCTTCAAGGCCAGAAGAGGAGACCAAATGAGAAGTTAGGAAGGAGAACCCCAAACCAGAGTTTCAGGAGGCCCCAGGAAGCCAGTGGGGATATACTTAAGCCTGGGCTGCTTAAAGGTCCTGGGGGCAACCTGCCCTCCCTTGAGGCCAGGGTCAAAGGCCCCAGGAGTGAAGCTATAGACAGGAATTCTGACATCAGGACCATACTCTCGAGTTCCCAGAACCCATAGCACAAGTCTACTGCGTGTTCTGCAAAGCTGGGCCTGCCCTTCAAGGCCCAAGGACCCAAAGACTCTTGCTTCCTTTACCCCTGACTCATAAGCACTCAGAGAATCTGTGGCACCTGAATGTTGGGGTGCCACAGGTGCTCACCCAAGGCCTAGGCAGCTCTGGCCAATGACTTTCTGAAGGCTCAACAGACCCCCAACCAGCACTCTTCCTACTTCCTGCTCCTGCTCCTGCTCTGCAGAGCCCCATACCTTCACTCCAGCAGGGTGCCCTGTCTCAGGCTGTGCTAACTGACCCGGGGAAGTTCCCCTTGAAGGATCACAGCCTCCTCCTCTTCTTCTCTTCTGGGGCCCAGTATCCAGCCATTTACCCTCCTGTTCAGTTCTGCCCCCCACTTTCAGGGGCAGGCTTATAAGGGTCCTGTGACATTTCTCTAGGTAGGGGTGTGGTGTTGTCAGAGAGGAGGTGACTGGAAGGGGGTCTCCAGGGCTGCTCTAGGAGGCTTCCCAGCCACCAAGTTCCAGCGAAAAGAGCACACATCTAGCTCAGAGGCCTGTCATCCTGGCCTGGGTGGAGCTTTCAGGGAGAATCAGATTGGTTTGGCTTGGGTGGCAGGAAGGTCAGCTAGCTCTTGGGGTGACCAGGATCACTGTCTAGGCCCCTAAGCCTAGACATCATCTGCCTGACAAGCACCACAAATCGTGGTCAGTGGGTGCTGAAGAGAGGTGCTCTGTATTAAGATTCCCCGAATTCCTAGATGCCCTGTGGCTTTTCCTTAGGACTGAGGATATTTCTAGAGGAATTGCTAAGTACCCAGGTTCAATGAATCTGGTGAGAGAGCCCCCCCCCACCTCACTGGAAGGAGAAACTGAGAAATGACGAGAGATCCCGGCCCTAGGCCTTACATCATCTGGCTTTCTCGTGGTCATACTGCCTAGGACTCACCACTGTGCCACTCCTGAGAAGTGGGGTTCTGAGGCTCCCGCCCAGTGCTCATGGGGACCATTCAGTGTGTCCTTTCACCCATGTGGAATGCCCGTCATGTCCAGGGTCCCTTGGAGAGTCTGAGAAGGGTTGGGGATGTTCTCTGTCCTTCCAAAGCTAAGCACTGCCAGGATGGTTTCCATGACCTTCCAGATGATGTTCCCGAGCTCAGTTTCTGGCCCTTCAGAGACTCCCGTCTAAAATAGCTCTGGCAGAACTCAGGAAAGCTAGGGGGGAGCTGTTGTTGGAATATTCATGTCCTCTTTCCTTTAAAAGGTCTCTGGGGCCCTTGAAGGTCCAGGGTGATGGAGCAACAAAGCACGGGCTCCTAGCTGCCATCACAGCTTCTGAAGACTCAGAGCACTTCTCTATTCAGCTAGAAGCAGCAGGGGTCAGGGTCATGGTCCTCCCAGACAACTCAGGGTGAGGGTTATTATGGGCTACCTAAAAGCATTGGCCACTTTGGGGAAGGAACTATCTATGTTCCAGGTTTGGTTCAGTGGACACCTGTGGTTGCCCAGAAAAAGATGGGGGTGCAGAGAACACCAAAGAGGGAGCTATTGTGGCCAGACAGGTGGTCTAAGCTGGGGGCCATCCCAACCAGCCCTCCCCACTCACATCCTACACACACACACACACCACAACACACACACATACACACACACACACACACACCACAACACATACACTACACACACACACACACACACCACAACACCACACACACACACACACACACACCAAACAAATAAACAAAACAAACTGGCAGTGCTCCTTCGAAGGTTTTATTCATTGCAGGAAGGTGGGCTGGGCGTTGGTGAGGCCTAATTGCAGTAGTTCTCTAGCTGGTAGAGCGAGCAGATGCTAGTGCAGCACTGATCCACAATGCCTCGCTTCTGCTGGGCGACCTCCAGCGCCAAGGTCTGAAGGTCACCTGCTCCGGGGCCGCCAGCTAGCTCCAGCTGTGCCACTGCCAGAGAGGCGGAGAGGCGGTGTCAGAGCAGGCCAGAGCGGCAGCAGCACAGAAGCAAAGACACACAGACAATCCGGTCAGCAGCAGCTGAGCAGCCTCCCCTCACCCAGCCTATCCCAGGCTTCCTCTCACCCTGTCCACCTGCTAAGTCAGTGCAGGTGGCAGGGACTACGCGTCTGTGGGACAAGTCACTGAGCATGGCCACAAGGAGCTGCAAAGCCTATACATCCTGCCACCCCCACAATCAGTGCAGTGCTTTATGGGAGCCCCCAATAGGTGCTCTGGGGCTGCCTGCATATCTGCACCGAGGAGCTTTAAGGCAGGGTTCTTGTTCATTGCTAGCAGCTGCCATGTTTAGCTCTGTCTAGCTGCCCATGGGAATGTGTCCCCTGCCCCGGTTACTCTGAGACCCTCCATGCCCAGAGCATAATCTGTGAGGTCCTGTGGGGGAGGAAAACCAGGGTGGCAAGCACTGGGGACAGAATTCAGGGGGCAGAGCTCACCTTGTGGGTCCTCCGCTCCACGGCGGGACTTGGGTGTGTAGAAGAAGCCACGCTCCCCACACACCAGGTAGAGTGCCTCCACAAGGTGGGAGCCACAAAGGTGCTGGTTGACAAAAGCCTGGGCAGGGTTGGGCTCCCAGAGGACCAGCAGGGCCAAAAGGGGCAGAAGACGCATCCACAGGGCCATGATAGAACAATAACCTGGAAGATAGGTGGGGTTGAGACCAGCAAAGGGCCCATGTAGGAGAAGAGCCCATCACATCTTCCTCAAGTCCCTGGAGTCTTGGCTGGGGAGTCAGGCCCAGTGAGGAGGGTACGCACCTGCTTGCTGATGGCTTCTGGTTGCAGCTGGTCTATAGGGTTGGGGGTTACTGGATCCCCACTAGTTTTATAGTCTAAAACACCTCCTGTCTGCCCCCTGGACTCCGGTGTTTGGTCCATTAAGGGCTCTAGGGGGTGGATCAGCAGATGGCCAGAGGGGCTGAAGCTGCAGTTTCCAAACACTTCCCTGGTGCTGGGTCTGCAGAAAGCTCTCATTGGACGTCAATACCTCTACTTAGCCTCAGGGTAATTAGTCTTAACAAGGGGGCAGGGTGGCCTGATGATCCAGTTCACAGCAGGGGGCATTGTTCCAGAGAGAGTGAGGCCTTCTTCAGCCTTGGCTGAGCAATATCCATACCATTCCCCGGGGAGCTGGAGCTGTTGGGGGTCTGGTATCCCTATCCCTTGGACTCTTTCATAGTCCCTTAGCTCAGCTGGGGCCCTGGCTAACCCACACAGGAAGGAAGCAGAATTCAAGCAGCAAGGCCTAGCTGGTCCCTTCTCCTCTATCTCTCCTTCCATAAACCCACTCAGGGGTCAGCTGGGCTGAAGCCCCGCGGTAGACCCTCTTATCCCAATACCCCAAGACAGGCACAAAGGCCAGCAGGTCCCACTAGAGGTACATGCTTCAGAGCCGAGTCTCTGCCTCCTTCTCTTAGTTCAGGCTCTACCCCGGCTGCAAAACCTTTCTCAGACTCCACTTGGAGTGGTTGGGGGTTCTTTGACCCCTTCTGCCCATGATTTGGTACTTCCCTGTTCCCCAGCCAACTAGAAAAAACCCTTGGTGTAGTTGAATGAGCTAGAACTCTACCCTACACAGGGCTTGATAGCCACTAGACTAGAACTGTGGGCTCTTTGGTCCCTGCTCCCTAACACCCCCCAAGTGCTACAGCCATTCAAACTCTGGGTATCTGGGACACTACTACAGAGAACCCACCGGAGCAGGGGGTTTGTGGAGACTCCAAGAGGAGTGCAGGCAAGGAGCAGGATTCGGGTGGGAAGATGGGCAGTGGGGAGGGTCCTCAGGACCATAGTGAGGCTAGAAGGCCTTGCTGAGGGTCTTACTTACTTTTTTTTCTTTTTTTTTTTTTTTTTTTTGAGACCTTTCTCAAAGGCCCTGTGGTATAGCTAGGCTTATCTTCAACTCACAGTCTTCTTGCCTCAGCCTCCCAAGCTCTGAAATTCAGGTATGTACCACCACTTCTGGCTCTCCTTGGGAATTTAAAAATGCTTAGGGATTTCTTTATGTTTTTTTTTTTCCTGTGACATTTAAACTCTTTCTGGGGTTTCAGTGACATATAGAGACAACCCTGAGCATCCTTGCAGGTCTTTAAGCCCTCCACAGGACCATCATGGAGGCTCTCCAGGGTTTCCACAGGGCTCACACTAACTTGAGTCTCAGAGCAGCTCATGGGCATGCCAACATTGCAATGGGCTTACTCCACCCAAGGTTGCAGCAGGGTTTCCCCATGGCACAAGGCCTTTCATGGCGCCTCACATGGTTCAGCATTCAGCTCCCTGTGAAGGTTTCATTGAAGCTCTGGGCCTTTCCTAGAGTTTCCCCAGAAAAAAAAGCCTTCCCCAAGTCTCTGTGAGGTTTTAGAGTTCCCGATGACCCCCCAGAGACAGCTCCAGTTTCTCAGTGGCACTAAGACCTCCTCTTGGTGTGTTTGGAGCTCACAGCCTTCCTTGGAATCTCAATAGGCACGGTGGTCCTGCCATATCACTGCTACTTCTAATTCTTACTGTCTTCCCAGGGTACTAAAAGGACTTACTTGGGTTTTCTCCAGGTGTTACTGAAGCCTGGTCTGTTTGGGGACTCAGTGGGACTCACACTGGCTCCCTGGCTCTCATCCAAACTAATGGTGTTCCTGAGGGTCACAAGGGGACTTAAGGCCTTCCCTAAAGTCTCAGTGGATTTCATTGACTTCCCAAGATCTGAAAAGGACCTAACTCTGCCTCCCATCCCCCGTGCTAGTTCTGTTCATATCCCTGTGAATGAATCCCCCAAAGAAGCCACATCAAGAAGGAAGGTTTTTTTTTTTTTTTTTTTTTTTTCAGGAAGGTTTGAGGGGACATGGTCCATTGATGAATGAAAGGCATGGTATCTAGAGTTGGCCTGTGGCAGCAGGAGCTTTCAGAGGCACTGGCTGAGAAGCAGAAACAGACTGGAAGCAGGCCTGGCCTGTAACCCTATGGCTCACTCTTCTGGCCCTGTATCTACCAGCTTTACCCCATGAACAAAAGGTTTCACAGTCTCCCAGAACAGCACCACCTGCTGGGAACCAACGTTCAAACACAGGAGTCTGTGGGGGAAGCTTCACACTCAAGCCATTACACCAAAAACTCAGTGAGTCCCCATGGTTGCAGTGGGACCCACAGCTTCTCCTAAGGTCTCAAAGGAACAGGGAACTCTCCAGAGACCTCAGTGGGGGTGCACTGCTTCCTCTAGGGTTTCAGAATACTTCTCTGCATTCTCCAGGTTTTTAGAGTGTCTTACTCTCTGCCCCAGGGTCCCAGATTCTTAATGAAGCCCTCTGCTTCCCCAGGCACTCAGTAGGGTTCATGGCTCCCTCCAAACTCCCACTGGCATGTTATTGATTCCAAGACTTTCCCAGGATCCTAGAGGAGCTAAAGCCTTGGGATCTTAGTGAGGTTAAGGACTTCTCTAGGACTTCAGGAAACACCCATTTTCTCAGGATCACATAGGATTGAAGGCCTTGCTTAAGATTTAACATTGTTCCAGGCTCTCCTCCAGGTCTCAGTGGGGCTCATGGATTTTTTAAAAGAATTTCTGAGGTCTGAGGTCCTTCAATCGTGTCCTCTACCCTTCTCAAGGTCTCGGTAGCTTAGCAACCTTTTCTGAGGCCTCAGGGGAACATGAGGATTTTCCAGAGTCTCAGCAGTACTCAAACACCGCATGATTGTCTCAGTAGGGGAGAAGGCTTTCTCTAGAGTATCAGTGGGCTGGAAGCCTTCCCCAGGAGTCTCATTAGCTTTTAAGGCCCAAGGTCCCATGGCCTTAGGGAAACTCATAGACTTGCCTGAAGCCTCAGCTCCTCTTCTTTTATCTCAGTGTTTTAACTAATTAATCAGCTTGCCTGTTTATTTCCAAATGTGGAAGTCAAATAAGAATCCACAGGGCATGAGTTCCCCTTTCCATAAAATGGGTCCTAGGGGTAAGCACAGGCCATCAGGCTTAGTAGCAGACACCATTACAAGCTGAGCCATCTTGTTAAGCTCAGATGTCAGTGCTTATTAAGGGCCTAAAACCTTCTCAAGAGAATCACTTAGGACTAAAACCTACAGATGGACTTATCAGAGCCTAAGTCTTTTCTACTGACTAAATGGGAGCCTAATTACTTCTTCATGGTCTCAAAAGCAAGCAAACAACAAACAAAAACCTAAAGCCTTTCACAGAGATTCAATGAGACCAGGCTTTACCAGGATCTCAGTGGAGCCTAATATTTTCCCCAGGGGACCCCAAGAGAGACATATGTAGTCTCCCAGAGAAAGGGAAAGGGACAAGATCTCCTGAGCAAATTGGGAGCATGGGGTAAAGAGAAGGGTAGAAGATGAAGGGGGAGCAAGACATGAGGGAGTAGGAAGATTGAGTTGGGGGAAGAATAGAGAAGAGCAAGAAAAGAGATACCTTAATTGAGGAAGCTATTATAGGTTTAAAGAGAAATCTGGCACTAGGGAAATGTCCAGAGATCCACAACTAAGAATCTAAGCAGTAGTGGAGAAGTTATCTTAAATGACCTTCCCCTATAATGAGATTGGTGACTACCTTAAACCTTCATCTAGTAGTTGATGGAAGCAGAAGCAGACACCCATAGCTAAGCACGGAGCTGAATTCCTGGAATCCAGTTGTAGAGAGAGAGGAGTGATGAGCAAAGGGGTCAAGACCAGGCTGGAGAAACCCACAGAAACAGCTGACCTGAGCAAGTGGGAGTTCATGAACTCCAAACTGACAGCTGAAAAACCAGCATAGGGCCTAACCAGGCCTCCTGAACATGGGTGTCAGTTAGGAGGCCTGGGCAGTCTATGGGACCTCTGGTACTATTTATCCCTAGTGTAGGAAATATAACATCTAAATGGAACATAAGATCTTCCCACGTTCTCACTGAGGCAGAAATGCTTCTTCAAATATCACCCATAGCTAAAGCCTTCCTCAGGATCTCTCTTGGGCCTAGGGCCTTCCCAAAGGAATAACATCTGGGGATTCTAGAATCTTGCCAGGGTCTCAAAATGGCTGAAGGTTATCTCCAGTTATCTCCAGGTTCTAATGGTGCCTGATGACTTTCCACGATCTCATAGAGGTCAAAGGTTTTCTTCAGGGCCATCCTGTGGCTTAAACTCTTTCCAGTGTCTCTCTGGAACCCAGGCCATCCCCAGGGGCCTCTAGCCTTCCAAGGTTTACAATGGGGGCTGGTAACTTCTCCGGGATGTCACAGATATTGAGGGCTTATCCAAGATATCACAGAGGACTAAGATCTTATGTCAGGTACCCTGTACTTCAGGCCTTCCCCATATCCTCACTGGAGCCTAAGTCTTTCTGCCAGTACTTACTGGGGTCTAAGGCTAACCTCAGGTTACTCTATGACCTAAGGGCTACACTACATTCTCACTAGTGCTTAACACCTTCACCAAGTCTTCACTGGGTCCTAAGGCTTCTCCCTGGACCTAAGGCCTTCCCCATATTCTTGACAGGGCTAAAGGCCTTCTCCTGGTACTTGCTGGAGTCTTGGGCCTCCTTCAGATTTTCTCTGGGGCCTAACGTTATCACTGATACCTAAGGCCTTTCCTGGGTTGTCACTGGATCTTAAGCACGCATCAGGGTCTCACTGGGGCTTAACTAAGATCTTCCTATGTTG